AGTCGACCTACTGTAGCTTCCTGTGAAAAGCGCAGATGTCCTGTACAAGAAAGCGGCGCTCATAGCGAGAGAGGACGGAGCCAAGCGAGCGGTTAACCTAATTTACCGGGCATAATTAGGTTTTTGTATTGCGGACCGAGCTCGCTGCCCTGCTGTAAAACGTGTAGCGCACCCCAAGAGTGGGAGACGGCCTTCCCTTTTAAACTGCGCTGGTTTCTGAGTACAGAAGTTACTTTTCGCCGGAGGAAGGGTGGAAGAGGAGGAGGTGGGGTGGGAGTATCGGTTGTGATAACTTTTTTTTTTTAGCGCTCGCTTTCAAAGCCGGTGATTAAACAAATCAAACTTTGAAATCCACGCGAAACGAGGGAAAGAGCGCGGCGTGCAGCGACCTGCACACGCGTGCTGTCGGAGAGGGGCACAGATACAGTGGCAGGTCCCGCAGAGGAACATGAAGCCGGCTGGTCCTGTGCAGCTGGACTCCTCCGGATCAGAAACAGACTCCATTAACCCGATCGATAGATCGAAAGGCAAGCGGTGTAGATCAGATACAGCATCACGCCAAACCTTTAAAACGATAATGTTTATCTGGGAACGGTCAATATTTGTGCCGAGATTGCCGGCGCGACTTAATTAAGTCTGTCTCAGGGCGACATTGTCAGTACAGTTGCTGGCTCAGTTTTTCGTCACGTATTTACTTCCTGATGGCAACGGAACGGATATATCATGTACCCTGAGAAAGCCCTGTTTTTAAAACTCAAACGGCACAGAACCTGGGTGTTCAGAAGCGTGTTCCCTTGCGCCAGGGCTGTATTCTCTATCGTGGTCGAAGGAGGAGTGAATTGGCGATTTCGGTAGTGTCCTGGCTCTTGGGTTTTACGAGGCCCGGCAGGTCAGCGTGTCTTGCTGAAATGCTCTTTTAAACGAGTAGCGAACGATCGAGGAGAACACAGATCTGGCTGTGCCTCCGGACATCACCACAGGCCTTTCAGACCCAGAAAGCGCTGCTGGAGCCAATCTGTAACTTTCTGAATCGGTACAGTGCATTCTCTCCATTTCTCCTTGCTTTGACTGGCTCCACAAGAGAATCATAAAGGTTACTTGGCCCATCCACCTGTCTGGTCGCTAGTAGCTCACCCAGCTGTCCTGAGAGAAAGCAAGGTATTGGCTTCAACAACGCAGCTCCATACTCCCACCACTCTTTGTGCAAAGCAGTGCCTCCTGTTCTGACTTGAGGGTCTCATCCAGCTGTGCCTTTAAAGAAGCCAGGGTATCGGCTTCGACAACATGGCTTGGCAGCTTGTCCCACACCCCCACCATCCTCTGGGTAAGCAAGTGCCTCCTGTCTTCAGTTTTAAATGCATTTCCCCCTAGTTCCTACTGGTGCTCTCTGGTTCGTGTTTCACTAGTAATTGTGCCTTTTGAGAACCGTGAATAGTTTAATCAGGTACCCTCACACAATCTTCTCTGGCCAGACAAGGACAGAAGAGAAAAGGGTCCAGATGAGAGAGGTCATTCAGAACATCTGGCCCGCCCTGGTAGCTCTGTCACGGTCCACTTCTTGTAGAATCCCAGCAACTCGGCCACAGCGGCATGGCTGGGGATGTCTGTTCCAGACACCCACAACTCTCTGTGCAAAGAGTGTCCAGCTGATCCCTCTCCTTAATGCACCTGGCTCTCCACGTTCCACTCATCTTCCCAGTGCCCTGTTCAATTGCTCGCATTCTTGACAGTAATAATTTACCTGCCCTTTATCTAAGGTGACTCGTATTTTATTACATTAATTTATCATGAGAGTAGTGCGGTGCTGCAGAGAATTTATTTAGTGCACCGTTATGCATGTTGTTCTAAGATAAAGGTCAGATGCAATATTCAGCTTATTCTCTACAGTTACACAATGAAGCAAAACGTCACTGAGAGGTGGGGTAACTGTGTCCTGTGAGGTGCATGGTTACAAGACGGCTCTCCTGCAGCAGAGCAGAGATCTGGGCTCCTGAAACTAGAGCACGACGTCGTACAGTTCAGCTCATTGCATTTTGCAAGGCAGGGAGCAAGGCATAAAGGCATAAGCAGGAGTGTCACTGACACGCCAGTGATATCAGTGGATATGATCCGAGAGGACTGCAGTCCCAGTCAGTCCTAGGTAACTTAAAGTCCTCAATAAGAGTGTAAAAAGCTGGAAGCAGTGGGAATAATGACTGGTTAGGTGAACAGCTGATCCAAATCAAGTCATCAAGAGTCCAGGATGGAGTGAAGACCAGGAGACATGGCGCCCCCCTACAGGGCTAGGAGAGAACATCACCTCCTGCCACCTTATTGCTCCTGTTCCACCAGCCCATCGTTGCCCCGGCAGCGTCTTGTGAGCTGGAAATAGTGTAAGGCTTACTGTGCACACTTACACCCAGGAAGGTTCAGGGATGTCGCTTGTGAAGCAAGGAAATGACAACGTTTCATCCACCCAGCTGTTGCTAAATGTCTTGCTAAATATGGTGCTTCTGGCGATGGGACCTCAGGACCTCAGTGAGGTGACATGATGGAGGTGGCCTGTGGCAAGTACTGCTCTCTCAGTGGAAGAGCAACCTGGCTTTAGGAAAGCAGGCAAGACTGGCAAGGAAGATCCCCTCGCCCACACTTAACTGCTCAAACTGATGGATCGTGGTTCTGCTGAACTGGATCTGTTCACCCCTGGTCCCGGCCCAGATATGGCCCGGTTCTGACCCCGGAGCTCAGTGGCGGGAAAGCCTCCCTACTCTCTCTGCTGTGCCTCATCAGCGCTGACCATACTGTTAGCCCGGTGCCAGGCCTGGATCGCTGCTCCGCTGTGCGCACACACCCAGTATCATGGAGAGGGGCTGCAGGGACTCGTGCATCACATTCGAATGCTTCCAGAGAGCGTGAGAAACAGGCACTAGGCTCCAGAGGCGAGCGGCATCCGAGAGGCGTTGAGCAATTTGACATTAGTGGCGTGGAACTCCTCTCGCCCACCCGGGTGTCCAGAAGCACAGCGGCCCTCTGCCGAACAAGGCGTCTGCAACAGGGGCAGGCAGCGCTGGCGAGAGGGAGACCCCTGCCCCGGAGAGAGGGGGCGGCCCGACTCGGAACTCAGAACCGGGGCCGGCCAGGGAGTCCTGGAGACGGACCCGGAGCCGGGCGGGAATGAGACCTGAATGGGAGGCTGGTTCGTCAAGGCCACACCAGTGCCACCGGCTTACAGAAATCAGACTGCTGCAGGGGAGAGGCCAGAAACGGGACAGAAGACACGAGATGGCGCCTTATCGCGCGCAACAGCGCGATCTTATCTGCGTGCCTGAGATGGAGACGGAGCGAGGAGGGGGCGGCGGCGGCGGTGAGCTAGATCGTTTTGAAAAGCGCTTCCTGTTTTTTTGACACGCGTTTGCGAAACTCTTCAGTTACACTTCCTCTTCACCCTC